ATTCATAGATGGGGCTCAACATGATGAAAAAGACTCATACTCTGAATTTGTTGGTGTAGGTAACCTCATAAGCCATGGTGTATTTGAATATGGACCAACTTTCTTACCCAACTCAACCAGTGAGTTCTGATTGATGCAGTGCCAAGTCTGATTCAATCAGCATTAAGGCAATGGTCTGTTACCGGAACATGTAGATACATAGACTCAGATCACTTCCATGTACCAGAAGGTAAAGCTGCAATAAAGATTCTGGCGGACACATCTCCATCTGGTATACATACAGCAACAAGAGACACAAGAGAAGGTTCAAGATACAACCACATTAACATTAGGAGATGCCACCGATGCGTGCAGAGGACATTTCGTTGTGGGTGTCCAAGCTGGATCCACGGTTCAAAAATTCACACTGGAAAGCAACGGGACTGGGTCAGGTGAGAAGTTTGGGTTAGTGTTTGAAGCAGATGAAGTTGCAACACAGATAAGTTTCACCAGCTACTCAGTTACAATAACAAAAGAGGATGTTCTTTGTGGTCCTGTGATTGATCAAGTGATGATACTTTCACTTGGTGGAACAGTCTCATTCTTTTCGCTTTGTTGTACATAGCAGTTCTCTAATTGAATCTGTTTGGGAGAGTTATCATAAAAATATATTTTTGCAAGGAGATGTGATAATCTTTCTAGTTTCATGATTAATATATAAACATATTCATCACACATGAATCTTTCACAGATACATTGGGGTACGACCATGGTTTCTTTTGCAGTGATAAAATCTTCATTTCTACTTTTATGTAGAAAGCGTACATACAAAAACACACTTGAAGCCTACAGCCTTGGAATAAGCAGCCACTGATCCACCAATTCCTTAATGTAAATGGGATCTGCAAGGCTTTGAGCTTAGAGAGAACCTGCTTGTTCACAGAGATCCAGCAGAGCTAGTGTATGTGTCATCAACAATTTGGTTAGTACAACCTAAAATCTGCGGAACAAGGACGGGTGTATCGAATGATTAGCATACCTCAGGGATGGTGAGCTTGAGTCGGAACTTGGGACCATCATAGTGGTGCAAAACCGGCCTGAAAGAGTCTTCTTCCAAAACTTTGCACAATTTTCTTACACGACCTATTTATCATTGAAAAAAGGATGAAGGGCAGAATCTACATCAGAGAAGAGAAATGAAACCTGTGCAGGAAATCTGGATTCTCCTTTGCATTTCTTTTCCTTCCAAGCAGTTGGGTCAATGTTTGAACCTCCAAAGGTTGTTGCCTTTGCAAAACACAGAGAAGCAATAATCATTGGAGTCATAGAACAAGTCATGAGCACCCTTGAAAAAGTAAAGTGATATATGGAACGAACCCAAAAAATTCCATGCAACTGATGAGTTGTGTAGTTGTAGAGAAACAAAGGCAGGCCTGGTGTTATCGTCCTAACCGAGTCCCTGTATCTCAGTGGCAAACCTGACATACACAAAAGCAATACTCGAAGATACGTAAATATGATAGCGTTGATATGAGACCACCTATCCTTTATCGATATGGAAGATGAGGTAGAAGGAACAAACAGTAAAAGCAGCTAATGACTACGGTAAACAGCAGAAGGTTCAGGAGAGAGGACACGTCACTACTTGTAGGGTTTTACTCTGCGTGAAGGGTTTTACTATAAAGCTTAGCTGTTAGAGACTTTTTGGCTTTTATGCAATTTGTAGCATCTTTTGGTGAGAGAGAAAGATAGGAGAGTCGGGAATCCTGAATATCCCTTTGTTCTTGTTATCTTGAATACTTCTTTGGAGTTTATTGAAGGAGAGAGTTTACATTTCATTGAAAGAAAATCTTATTTACAAGTTTGAATCTTTAATCATATCAACTTGGTATCAGAGCTTTTCAATCCCAGGGAAATGGATCAGAACTTACCTCAGTTGTCGCCGGTGGCCGAAGTTTCACGTGAAGGATCTCAGGAGCTGTCGGAGACCTTGACGCAGAATCCATCGATGATTTCTACTCTGATGACAATGGTTGATAACATCGATCGTCGATTCGAGGAAGATGACTGGAGAAGGAAGAAAAAAGAGCAGAAAGGGAGAGCCTTTCTGCTACAGGACACGCTGGGTCGTCGATGAGCGCTTTTTTGGTTAACCGCCGTGCTGAAAAGGCTCTAATATACACTCTCGAAGGAACGCAACCACCAGACAGGAGACCGTACACGAAAGGGGAGTTGGTGACA